TTGTTATAACAGGTCAAGTATTGCCTTTTCAATAGAATTTCTCCAAACCTAATTCTGTAGACTTGCTTTATGCTGTGACGACAACAACAACGCATGTAAATATGTAAATTGTTTGGTCTTTTTTAATGTTTTCTTTCTTATTTGTTGAGTATTGTATGCTATTATTTAGCTTATAGTAAATTTTTTTTTATAATCATTTCTCAACAATCTGAATATAAGTTGAAAAACCYAACTTCAGTGTTTGCTTAAAAAAATTATGTACTTACGATTATATCTATTACTTAAGCAGCCTTTTGTTTTTAGGAGAAATCTAATTGAAAATTTTAAATATCAGCTATAACATAATTATCTTTAATATATAATTATATATCGGTAATTGAGCAAATAATATTTACAATTGTTTAGTAAAAGTTTCGAAACCAATAGCAAGTTATTTTTTAATTAAGCAATACTTCAAATACTGAAGTATAAATGAATACACAAGAAATTCGTGTTTAAATTAACTGAACAATGTAAGACATAGTACATACCTATGCAAATATGCGTATACATATGTATTTATAATTTAAATATGCAACGACACACATTAGAAGTTTATTTAGCTAAAAAAAAAGCTTAGTAAACTGTTTCTGCTTTAAAAAATATAGGAAAAAAACTTCTTAATAATTTTAGAGCCTACAATTATAAATCATTTAAATGTGTATGTATGAATGTATTTACAAATACTTTATAAATATACGTGCATTTATTACGTTAGGTTTGTGAACACAATAGAAGATTAAGGAAATGTTGTTAATTTAAAATGAAACTATGGCAAAATCTGTCGAATTATGCAATTCTCATATGGAAGGCAATGGAAGAACGACAAAAAAAAAAGCTGCTTTAAGCTTACATTCACTTATGTGAGTATGTATGTAGGTAAATATAGTTTCCTTTGTATTGCGGCTTTGCCAAGGATACTTTATTCGTAGCGGAATTGAGTTACACAAAACTGTACTGGTTGTCGACCGCGCGTGGCCCCATTTCATTTGCATTCAAATCGTTAATGCTTGCCACTCTTGCACCACTAAGGTGTGGATTCTGTAAATGACAATCGAATGCAAATATAAATAAATGATTTTTTATTTTTTTACGTAATATAGCCAACAAACAGCGACAAAAAATGTTACGAAGTTTGTAGTTCACGAGTTGTAAATATTATAAGAAGCAATGTCACTTTTGTTAAGCACGCCAATATACTCCTGTTTAGGAGATTTAAGATTTAGGTTAGTTATCCCAGTTTGCTTTGTTTTGATTTCGGCTTCAATGTTTGTTGGCTATATATGTCACAACATATGTAAATATGTACCGGTGATTGTAAAGATACTGTTGACGTGCGTAGTTGTGGCGTGTTTAATTGCTGTTGTTGTTGTGGCTGCTGCTGCGGCGGTTGCTGTTGCTGCTGGTGTGATTGTTGTTGCTGTGCTGGTATTTGCGGCGGTTGTAGATGTACATGATGATGATGCGGCGGCTGCGTTTGTTGCTGCTGCTGCTGTAGGAACGGTAACTCAATTTCGCACGTTTTTAAGCGCACACTCATGTTCATTGTGATTACATGTTGCGGCTGCAATCCGCCAGTAAACAAATGCAATTGTGGCATGGAATAATAGGAAGAAAAGAAAATACATGGCACTTTGATTTTGAATACGTGACACGAACACATTGCGTGCGACTGGTGTTAGTATTATTTGATTTTGTTGTGGAAAGCTGATGACTCAGATCCATGCAACTAAACGTAAAAAGGATTTTCAATACAAACATACATAGTTATGCATATACTTATATATATATATATATATATATATATGAAGAGAAAAAGTATCTAAAATATTACGAAAAAAAATATAATAACAATAATTGAAATATTACAATAAAGGAAATTGTGCTAATTTTAACATACACAAACTAGACGAAAGAAAAGTTTAAGTAAAATATTACTTATTTTAAATTTAAAATCAAAGCTACCATTAAATTTGTACATAATTTTTGATTTCCACAACTTTTTTGTAATTATATTCTAATGTTAAACGCTTTATGCTCGGTGTCCGTATTGAAAACAAGTCAAGTGCAAAATTTAATGGCGCCATGTTGAATTTTTGTTCAAGGAAGTCAAACAAAAAAAAAAAAATAGAATTTACACAAAAAAAAAAAGCAAAATAAAATACGAAAACATCAAATCAAAATCATCACTGACACTGAATGGACTCCAAAATTTAGGCTATCTCACATGTCTCGGTGATGGATGCTGTTGCTGTTGTGGTTGATGCCCACCGTTTGTTTCAGCATTGCTGCTGGCATCAATTATGCCGCTACACGAAGTTCCTTGATTATGCACCCACTCGGTTAGTGTAACATCAGATGTGCCGCCCGATTCTAATGGTATTGGATTGTGCCGGAAGTGCTCGAGCATCTCCTGAATCGAAGGAAACCATAAATGCTGTACACGGCATTGGCCCTTCTCCGACAAGGTCATACGTAAATGTTTAGCACGTCCTTGAAAATTGAATGTGAGCACAAATTCACCTTTGCGCGTCTCACTTTGACGCACTAAAAAGAAACCATGTCCTGCTGCTTCTGAATGTAATACCATACGTGCTGCTTCTGAACGCGGCAGTGTACCATGAAACCAGGGATACTGTCGCATTTCAGCCGTTAAATCCGCTACATTTATATCCAATTCAGAATCACATTCGGGTTCGAAATTACTCGACGCCGATAGGCGTTGTTCACCGCGTTCGCCAGGTCCGACACGTCTCGGCGGTATATCAGGTATACCATCTATTGCATTGCCATCATTACCAATAGTTGCCGTTGCACCTACTCCCCCATTTCCAGATGCCAACGCATTGTCCGATTGCGAACTGCTTGGGCCGACATTGCCGTTAGAACCAAGTATGTTTGTCTGATGGTATTGTGGATTATTAATGCCACCACTGCGTGGTATAGTGCCATCTGTGGAAGTTAAATTGCCGCTCGGACTCATAGCCATTGAAGTTGTTGCCGAAATACCACCCATTATGCCGCCGACACCACCGCCACCAGTAAGCAATGCATCTGCCGATTCCAATGGCAATTGCTGCGTAGGCGGTGTACGCATGCAGTAGCGTATTGTGGCTAACCAGCTGTGCATTTCATCACTGCTCTCTGCCTCAATAACATATTCCATATTGTTATCTGCCTTCAATACAAAAGTGTTTTCCCGGTCGGGCATTTCAAGTCGTGTTGTTTTTCTTGCCTCCGATATTAAGAAACAAAAAACGCCACTTCGAGGCTGAAATAAATAATTTTTATAATTTTAATGAAACGTAAATATATTTAAAATTTAACGCTGAGAAACCTTCGTAGCTTTAGGTGGTGTATAGAACTCCAACATATAACCGCCAACAGCTTTCACTAGTGCCAGACGACATTTTTCCCATTTTTGCGTGCCAGTTGGTTGATCCAAACTTTCGGGTGTTAAATTATAGACGTAACCTTCTTTACGACATTCAACAATAATTTTCGAGATCTTTGTCTTGCTGTGTTTGCTACCATCTAAATCATCACTGTTCTTATGAAAAAGCGTCTGCAGGAATAAGAAATTCTAATATTAAATATATTAAAATGAACTGTTCTATATTATTATATGTATATAGACAACTGTTAGAATTGGTAAAATTATTGCCCACCTTGCCCTTGCGCAGACCTTTGAAAGAAAGGCGTCGAAAAAATGCTTTTTGAAAAATTTTCGGCGAATCTTCCGCTGTGTTACCACTTTCTTCTAATGAATTTCCATTACCAGTCTAGAAATTAAATGGAAACAAAATTCATTGAAAATTCGTAAATACATTGCACTCAAGGAGAACTAACCTTAAGATTGTTACGTCTTTGACAGAATTCAGTTTCGAAATGATCCACAAATGCTTCGGCAAACTTTTGTCCGAAGCTCCGATAGGAAATATTGCGCGCCTCTTCAGGTGGTAAATTACCATTTATATAATTTATACAAGCCTTAGCAAAATCAGCTGCCGCTACACGTGAATGACGCTCACAGAATTCTTCCCAACTTGTGCCATATGCATATGAAGTACCACTAGCAGTGCTCATATTTGGTATAAGGTCACCGCCTACTGCACCACCGCTGCTACCGCCAACACTACTTCCGCTAGCAGGCCCAATATAACCACCAGCGGTAAAAGTATTTGCTGTACTATTTCCGCCCATTTACTTAATGAATTGTTTTTATTATTATTCCTCTTTATCCGGCACGAAAGTGTCTGAAGTAAATATTCTACAAATTAATAGTTATATAATCCTGTATTTAGCACGTTTGCAAATATATTACTTTTAACTTAACTCATAAGCCTCGAAAACTTGATTCTAATATGTTATTTGTAATTTATGTAGAGATACATATAACACACATTTGTATATTTTTTATTTTAGCATTGATTTATTAAATGGCTTGACAACTATTTTAAATTCGAATAAATAACTCTTTGACGAAAGTAATTGCTGGTATCAATTTTTATGCCAATAACACAATTAAACCTGTTTTTAATATGATCTAAATTATTACAAAGACATTTTTTAAATTTCTTGTGATATCCTTGAATTATATATTTTAAGTTCGTTTTTTAAGAAAAAAGTTCAAAAGAAAAACAAATATTTACTACATATAAATGCAAAACATATACTTATGTAGATGTGTATATTCAATTACATACGTATTCATATGTACATACCTAGTTGGAACTAAATTACTATTTATATTTTTAGCAAACGCCTAACCAATATTTCTTTGTTTTGATTCAATAATAGTTATCCGTTTAATTTTATATTAACTTTACTAACAATATTAAAAATTTGTATTTAATATGGTTATGATTTGCGATCAATTCGGGGGAAAATACTACAAATTGTGGGACCTAGTATTACTTGATCACTTTTGGTCAAAAAAGCGGCATTCACCATGAGTAAATGTATCCAACCAGCTGTCGTAATTTAAATTTCAGTTATACTAAACTCACATTGAAGTTATTGGTTTCTTAAAAAAAGTTATTTCTCTGTTAAGATGCGCATTTTCTCATATGCTTCACGCCTCTTATTGTACACATGGATTTTCTCGTCCTCTTAAGAACGAGAAACAGCACTTATTTCACATTAGACTTATCTAAGCATTTTCATTATATCTATGATATATTTTCAATACTTTTTTACACATCTCCTTTTATTGATATAAATTTATTTGTTAAAATTTTGTTTTTAAACGGTCTTATAAATAAATAAAAGCGGAAAAGCTGGAAAACGCACTGAAGAGAAGAAAAAATTTTCACTTTGCTATTGTAAACGAATTTGCCAACTATTCTTTATGCACAACAAAGATGTTGCCAACTGTAGATTTGAAATTAATTGCCAACTACATATATAAACGTTAAGCCAATCACAGGAGCGTCATCTAGAACTGTATGTTCTATTAAGAGTTTCGAGTCGTTATTTTAAAAATTATTAGTAATTATTATATGCGACCTGGTCTACGAAAAGGGAGCTTACGTAATATTTTGGAAATTACAAAACTGGAATATACTAGACTGACTATTCATATTTTTTATTGAAAATATACAATTTTCACAATGCTCTATGGATCTATGTTACCCAGTCTCTAATCCTATTTTTCAGTACATGCCCAACGCTATCTGCTACCAAATATACAACTGGAGTGGAATCAAAACTATATACGGCTAGGGACTTATCACTAATTGGTATAATCTGTTCAAATTCAATACCATTGTCTCTCTAAACTAACTTTAGAAATGGTTTTGCCTCTACAACAGCACATTTCCTCGGGCTTTGGTTAGTTGACTTTAATAAAACCAGCATAAACCTTACCATCCAAGCAGAGATTAGATAACAGCTACAGCAGCTACACATTGTAGAAATATTGTCCAATGCAGCAAAAAGATTAGAAAAATCAAGCAATTCAGATGTTTCATATATATTTTTTTATTGTTAAACAATTTACTTATATTTTAAAATTATATCAAATAGTTCAACATAAAAAATTTGCATTTATATTAAATATTATACCTTATTTCATCAGTTTTTGCTAAATCTTATGCAATTTACTTGTAATTAGTAAATTAATACAATAGTAATAAGAATAAAAAAACTAATTTAAAATTCAACGTATTACATAATACTTACGAATATATAAGTATATTCAAAAATTGCCTTTACTTAATAGCTACCCTTGTGATTTTTATTTTACAAATTTTATTTTGTAAAATATTTCTATCGATAAGTGCTGCGTATTTGTGTTGTTGTGTATTCAAATTTCATCTGCAACTTGAAAATGGTACGAGTTGTGTAAATACAAATACATATACTGCCGTATTTTAATAAACACTCTCTTGAAAAAATAATCTCGAATAATTTTATTTTGCCATGATATATATATGAACTTTACTTATGAGGTTCAAAAATCTTCCAACTATTAGAATGAAAACATCGATGGGTTCATTGAGAGATATAGAAAGATCGTGTTGAAACAAATTATATTGATATACTATATAAATGTTAAGTTGTCTATTAATGTCTTTGCTTATTGTTTATAAGAAATGCATCGGTTTTAAGTTGACGTTTGTTTATGGTTTGCTGAGTTGTGATGAATAATTTGTATAATTTCTGATAACATGTTTACCTACTAAATTGTCAAAGTGAGCCTAAAGAAATACAAATTCTCTATTCATTTGATAATAAATAAAAAAAAAAAACTTAAAGTATAAAAGTTGTTATCAATAACCATAAAATAGTTATAGCAACGCGAACACATTTAAGTGTGTGGAGAAGATAATAATTTTAATATTTCCCACCTACAGTTACTCAAAACACAAATTAAACGTTTACGCAATTTTTGAAAGTGATTGACTTTTGAAGTTATTAATTTTACAGTATTTCTTCATAAATGTATTACTTAGCACATTTTCTTTTACAATGTACATCCGTATAAACAATTATTTTATTAATAAAAAGTCTAAAAATTAGATTAAAAAGTTAGTCATTGAAACTTTTTGTTTTTAATCATTCAATGTATAGGAAAGCTTAATTTATTTACTCAATTTAGTTAGATTGAATTCGAAATGTATAAGACGTGCAATGTTTATAGAACAGCAAATCTTTTTGTTTTTGTAGCGGCAGAAATCATTCCTGAAGTAATTTCAAGAAATTATGCCCGATTGACAGTGCTTGGCCGGATAAAAATCCCGTGCGTTCCGTTTACATAGATTCAACTGCCGTGTGACAGTACTGTGAACATGCGCTGCTACAGCGAGTTATCATTGTTTCTTTAACATAAAAAAACTTAAAAATGTTTATAAACATTGGCCCTCTAATGTTTTGTTCACATATTCTTTAATGGTTTACTAATTTGCTTTAAGCGAGTTTTAATAAAATTCAGTTCTATATAAAAATTAACGAAATCGATTCGTTCAGATGATAATTATACCTAATGAGTGGCTTAATGAGTACTGTTTATTGTATGTATGTATTTTCTTGTGTGTTTGTATATATTTATCTATATAACTCATCATTCTCAACGTGCGGATGTAGATTCGTAAGATGATGTACTGAGGCATGTATTTTGTATATGGAAATATACATCGACATTGCTGTAGTATTTATTTTTCTCAAGTGCGCTAAATTTTGGCTTTTTTCACTATTTAATACAATGTTGTATTAAAGGATGTTTTACATACAAATATGTTACTATTATTGAATCTCATTTTCATATCTGAGCGCATTACACTTAAATCTTACTATATTTTAGTTCAATAAAAATTTTTCAAAGAAAAATAAATATGTAAAAATTAAACGAAAAATGAGTAAAAATTTTTTCTTGTCTTAAACTCTTGATTCAGCGTACATACTACGTATTATTCACAACCCCCACCCTCATGCATGCTCCAAGTTGGTCTATGTCTATTATTATAATTAAAATACAAAAACTAAAATAATTAATTCCTTGTATAAATGTAGTTCGTTAAACGTATRCGAAGGAAAAAAGAGGCTAAGCACTCAGACTTCCAGTTGCTTTGATGGTTGCTGCGTGATGAACGGTTCACTCCACATGCGTCGCAAGTCGCCCTATAAAAAATTATCAAAATATGTTAGCTTCTGAGTTTATGAATATTTTAGTGCCAAAATAAATGTGAGGAAAAATAATGAGTAAATAAAGAAGCCCACAATTATGCAAAAAAAAATCTTAGCACTTTTATAAAACTTCTACAATAGTTGTAATTGTAATGCTGTAATATGCACCCCTAATTATARTTGTTTTGAAAGAAAAAAATTTTATCTTCGGCTGCAATAAGGCTGTAATACCCTTCATAGGTTCAAGTTTTCTTCCAAGAGCTTAATTTTGATCCTTCAGTTTGTATTGCAGTTTTATGATATGGTGGTCCGATTTTCGGAGTTGCCTTGGACAATAATATCTACCAAATTTTGTGATATATCTTGTGAAATAAAAAAATGTTCTACTATACATGAGCTTGATTTTGATCGTTCAGTTTGTACGGCAGTCCAGACAAATGAGCAGCTTCCTGATTAGAAAAGGATGTGTGCAATATTTCTCAACGATATCTCAAAAACTGAGACAGACGTGTTATATACTTAATGGCAAACATCTCTCTTGTATAAAGGCCGATAATCATAATGCAAGAATTTTATAAACAATATTTATTAAAGTTTCTATAGCAATTTCGGAACGCAAAAGGAACTGCATTTTCCGCACCTATATATAGATTTTTTTATTACAAATATATTACCTTGAGATAAGCCATAGTCAACAACGGCAATAACGTAAACGGCACCAAATATAATAATGCCGGTTGTGCTGCTTTGAAAACTTCTGAGCTGACGGTAGCGGTGAGCAGACCAAGAAAGTAGCTATAATAACACAAATTTTGTTGTTTTATTATTATTGAAAATTAAATATTGTAAACAAGTTAAAAAGAGTAATGAAAGTGAAATATATCACTTGGAAATTACACATTTACAAAGGACTTACCCCAACAAGGAACAGTGAAAGTAGGTAAGCCTCGAACCCACTCCTTTCGGTGGCTGCAACGTGGGATCAGTAGTTATGCCTTGCGATTTCTTATATGCATCATAACGTAAAACAAAGCATAACAGCAAACCCGGCATCACAATATCACCTAGACCCAACATTGAAAAATGCCCACTATTGTGTATACTYGGAAAAACCAATTTGCCTGGCAAGTTAAGTTTTGGTGGCTCTTTCACAATACCCCCCAAGTTTAGTTTTCGCGCTACTATGCCCACCGGATTGTCAGCAGGCCGAGTGGCCACCTTAACCATCACATTTGTGCTAAAGATATACGATGAAAAGAATACCCAGAAGACATCGTAGATGAGCAGTCCAGTTAGCAAAAGTGTAGACACTTTAAGACTTGGCAGGCGTACAAAAGCGATAAATGCCACACATAGACCCATGCCCATCGCTGCGATATATTTAAAAGAAACAGATAAATATTGATATACGYATTTCGGTGCAAGAACTTACCATCCATTAACAGCCAATGTCCGGTGAGTACCCAAATACATACAATTGACACAGAGAGTGCAAAACTGAATAATTCAGCCGCAGTAAAGCGACCACATATGCCAAACGATATGCGATTACCATCGGTGCATGGTCGTATAATGTACTGACACATGGGCAATAGCAGAAAGGCTAAAGCCACTGTTGCAATTACTATAAATTATRAAAACAATTAATCAGAAATTTATGCTTAATTATGGACGTTAAGGTCCAAYGAGAATGAACTCACTTGCTGTACAAACGGCGAATAGCAATTGCATTGAATCGAAAAAGAAAAACATAACCAATAATGAAACTGAAGCTCCGAGTGGCAAGCACAATGCGTGCATTGTATCGAGCGTTGCGAATTTGCCTAAAAAAGATAAAAATTATATTATAACTTGTTAAAGAACAAARCAAAGAGTTAGTTGTGATACTCACTAGTCTCTTGTTCCACAGGTTCCCCTGTTAGTAAATTCATCATTGATTCACTACGCTTCTTTTGTTCACGTTCACGAGCCTCCTGTTCAATATTCAAACTACGAAAACTGCCATACACGATTAACAGCATCGAAATGAGACATGTGGAGACGCGTGAAGAATCCATGACATTCGATGTCCAATGTACTTCGCGATATTCTGTGGTAGCGGACTGTGCGTTAAGACTGCTGCTATCGACGACTGCTGCTCCTGCTCCCCCGCTCACTATGCCGTGCGACATTGCGCGCCGTAATTGATAACAGCTTGTTCGTAGTCGTGTGCTATTGTGCGTTGTACGCTTGCGCACTAGCGTCTAACGCCACAAACCCGCGCACACACACCCCGTTATGGTTATGCACACTAGATATGAAGTGCTTAAATCAATATTAATGCACCACCTTTTCCTCTAGCACACCAAGTGTTATACATGCATATAAGTATATTTAATTATTCTACTTTCGATTCGGCCTGCGTGATAGTATTGCTTAGTTTGTTGTTTGTCTGTGTCGACTGCCTGCCTCCAAAGTATCATGTATGTAGTTTGAMGTGTATATTTGCTGATAATGTGGCTTTTAGATACCTGCTAAGTAAACCGAGCTCCTGCTCAATGTGTTATTAGCCATGCACACGGTTTAACAAYAGCGCTGCTGCGCTGATTGTCTTATCAGCAGGGCAGGCAGTGGAACAGCGAATGGTTACTACCTGAGACCCCAGCGTGTTGTCACAATATTGCAGCAATTATTGGAATACCATAAAAAAGCAAACAGTGCAAAGTAGACTGATCGTGCAATGACTTTCATACGTTTACTGAAAAAAAATAATAATTCAAAAAATGTAAATAAGCTTGTTGATATTATATAAAAAAGTTTTCCTTATACATTTTATATACATATGTACAAATAACTGASGAATATAAAATATTATATTTATAAAGCAGATAAGACGTGAAAACTTGCTTCTGGCTGCATTTTTAATTAAAAAAAATATCATAACCTATCGGTCAAAAAAAGATCAATATGCATGTATGTATATAAAACGTAAATTTAGATCTACGTATGTATATTATCACAAATAGTACTTAAACATACACAGATTGTTGCATAGAAACCCTCGGAAGGGTGTTTATCCCGAAAGGGAAACGGTATAATATCTTTGAGTTTATTTACACAGATGTTACCCACCAAAAATATTTCCGGTAGGAAGGTGATATATTTAAAAAAAGACACCTTTTTAAGAATTTGTCACCAAAATAGAACACAAATGCTATAATTAAAGAACAAAAGAGTAATACATTTTTGGAAAATAAGTTAAAAATCAACAAAAATAAAAGTTGTTTGTTGTTTGCAGTTGTCTTATTTTTTTTTTTATACACTTGCCTAAGTATGTACAATACAAATGATATAAATAAAAAAAAAATAACATATTTTACGAAAATAAGTTATAAATGTCTACAAAAATAAAACTTGTATTTGCAGTTGTCTTATTTGTTTTTATACACTACCTACGTAAGAATGAAAATAAAAATAAATAATACATATAACTTAAAGTGGAGAATTGGGACACAGTCCCAGAGCTCAGTTTGTAACCTTTCTGATTTTTCGKCGGATTAGTACAATCGAAGTATTTTCTCATTAGCAGCTTCATGTTTTATAATTATAATAAATATGCATATAAAATAAAATTAGTATGCATTTTACAAAAATTTTTATTAAGGTGTTACAAKGATTTCACGGCTTCAAAAAATCGTTCCTTTTTGTCTTATTTAATTACTCAAGTTCATCCAAGCAATAGTTTTCGAGATACATTATTTATAGTAACTTAAAACTTTGAACCTCGCTTTTATAAAAAGTCGCTTTGTGTTTTCAAAGTCGGTTGTCAAGACTTCTCACTAACTACTCAACCGGTATTAATGAAATTTTACACTAGCTTTCGAGATATAATTTACAGGTCCTTAAACGAGGCAGTTTTTTAAATTACAGCTATAAAAAAAAAAAATCGAGGAACTTTCACCAAAATCTTTGTAAAATATCCATGTATCCTTTGATTAAAAAAGTTTGATTCACTCTTTATAATAAATTTTTTTTAAATAGACCATTTTTGCTTGGGGTACCCATATATGGTACATATTAATATTTTGAATTGTTCATACTTGAAATGAGATTCAATTATACAAGTCACACGTTCAGCATTAAATATGATTAATAACTAAATAAATTTTTCACGATCGGTACTCCTTTTGTAGTCGAATGATAAAAATTGTTTTGCATTAACTTGAGATTTGCCGATTCTCAAATCGCAGATTTATTATATATACGGGTAAACTACCTTCTACATAAATATGATTTTTAGGACCAATTTTTTATTCCATCTTTATTAAGAATAAATTGAAAATAAATTATGAAATGCCAGTACAGGAATTGAAACATTTTTTATATAAATATTTTTACTCTAAATGTATACATTTGTATATACTACAGAGAGAACGGTATATGTTGCCATTAGCAAAACAAAGAAGAAAACTTATACGAAAAGTTTGCTGTAGAAAGAAGAATACGAAGTACCACATTAAAAGGAATGAAAAAACCTATRTTGTTTTTGTGTTATAGTCATTATCTTCATAATTACAACTTTATTATATACAGAAAATTGTAATTGTAGCAAGMAATATAATAAGAAAGTTTTCGGCTTTAATAAAGTTTTCTTCAAATATTATTAAAAGCTTAGAAAACAGATTACATTCACATAGCATTTCTGTGCAAAACTTGTAGYACACCGAACTTATTTTAAATGAATAGATAAACCGATTTTTATTTAATTAATTTTTCTTAGCATTCATACATATGTATGTATATTTCGTACCAAKTATATAGTTTTTTCTAGCTTTAAGCATTTCTTCGCTTACAACTTACTACATAAGTGTTGTGAGTTTTTCACTTTGCCTAAATACATTTCCACAGCACTTTTCTTCTATAATGCACACAGCTTACGTCAAATCTGCGAGAAAATATTTTTATATATACATAAACCCAYAATGGACCACGAAAGTTTACACCTCTTGTATATATATCTGGTAGATAACTTGAATAGTTTTTTAGTGGCTTTCTTCACCCTTACATTTTYTAATTAATATACATTCCATTATTTGATTCAATCCGTTTACACTTGAACGCACTACCGCACTGTGCATAAAAACTATTTGCAGTTTTCTTTCTTATTGTCCATTTTCGTGTTTAATCCATTAGTGTTTGCATACCTTTCCTGATATATGTATTTATGTTAACTTTCTCGCTCTCTTATTTATTATCATTTATTATTTCTACTCTTTCATTGCTTTTGTATGGGGTGACCAGATATATTTTGTTTTATATWACTTTTTAGGTAAATTTATTGTCTGTATAATCATAATTAAAAAAAAATTGTCAAAATTTCACATAAGCATTCCTTCTTTACAGTTTTTTTTGGCTGGGATTTAGAATAGCATCCCCGGATTTCGGGAATAAAATGAGTATTACTGGAAAGGTGGCGTTCTCCAGATCACGAATATATATATATATAGTAGCCTACTTTAACTTATTTTAGTTAAATTCTCTGCATTTGCACAATAAGAAAAGGGTTGCCATGGTTATTTTTTTGAAGCGCGGCGCGGAATGCAAATATCTTTGAAACTATATATATATATATTTGTGATCTGGAGAACGTCACCTTTCCAATGATACCCATTTTATCCCCGAAATCCGGGATGCTATTCTAAATTTTACCCGTTTTTTTATTTTTAAATAGTATATTCAAGTCAAAACTCGATTTTGTTTATCTATGTTAAAACTCTTAGTCTTTTAGTTAAGATTGGTGCATTATTTGTTGCTAAGTAACCGAATATTAAAGTCTGGTAACATATCTTAGTTTCTTGTGGTTTAGCTTTCGCAATTCGTAACATTTACGCCRAAATGCATTTCACCAATAATTTTATGAATTCTGTTTTAAAAGCACTTCTGCAATTAATAAGTATTCATGTGAAAAAGGACTTATTTCTTTCTGAAATCTTTTTTAAATTACTTCATTCAATGAAAACTTTGTGAATAAAACTACTACATTTACAGCCCTATTTTAAGAAATCCTCAACCAAGTTGTAAGGAAATAAATGTAGTACTGTCATTGTAAARTGCATCTGGGTTGATGTTGCATCACATAGTGTTGCTATAGTGCATTAAAATTTTTTAGTACTTTATCAAAACGCAGCACACAATTAGTATAGATGTTGATATGTATTTATTTATAAAACACTATAAACAAATTGTAAAAGATTTATATCTTATGTATGTTTGGAAAAAAAAGAAAAATGACCACGGAAATAGTTATATAAAATATACACAAGTCTCTGATAATCATCAAGCAGCAAGTTCTTTCAGAACCTGTCCTGCTATTACCAGGCGTTGTATTTCGGATGTACCTTCGTATATYTCCGTAATGCGCGCATCACGATAATAACGTTCAGCTGCCATATCGCTAACGTAACCCATGCCTCCTAAAACTTGAATRCATTGATGTGAACAGAATGTAGCTGCTTCAGATGCAGCCACTTTTGCCATTGCAGCTTCTTTCGTATATGATTTACCATTATCTTTCAGCCAAGCTGTACGCCAAACAAGTAATCGCGATGATTCTACCCTTACCGCCATGTCCGCCAGCTTTTGTTGGATAATTTGTAATTTAGCAATTGGTTTGCCAAAAGAATTACGATTTTGCGCATAATTCGTCGCCAGTTCTAGCGAGGCTTGAGCTATACCTAGCGCTTGACTTGCAATACCAATTCGACCTGCGTCCAAAGATTGCATTGCAATTTTGAATCCATAACCAGATTTRCCTAAAATATTTTCTTTTGGAATTTCGCAATCTTCAAAAATTAGCTGGCATGTAGAACTTGCTCGTATTCCTAGTTTGTCCTCTTTTTTTCCAAGTGTAAAACCTTTTAATCCTTTGGGAACTATAAACGCTGATATTCCTTTGTGTTTCAAGGATTTATCTGTAGTGGCGAAAAGTATGCCAGCTCCRGCTTCAAAACCACTGGTTATCCACATTTTCGTACCATTTAAAATATAGCGATCGCTCTTTTCCGTTGCGGTTGTAGAGGCAGCACCTGCATCTGAACCATTTCCAGGTTCCGATAGTGCAAAAAAACCGACTTTGTCWCCAGAGGTGTAAGGTTTCAACCAAAAATCTTTTTGCTTTTGTGTCCCATACGYAAGAATTGGCCCTAAAAATAGCGAATTATTAACAGACATTATCACACCACATGATGCACATCCACGAGATATTTCTTCCATTGCTATGCTATATGCCAAATAATCCAAACCCGTGCCGCCTAATCCAAAAAAAATACAAATTAGATCACGACTCGTGTAACAACAACTTAACAAACCGTATTCTTCCGGAGTTGTTATAGACATAAGTCCCAGTTCACCCATTTTTTTCAACTGATCTTCAGGATATAAATGTTCACGATCATGTTTAGCTGCTCTTGGTACTATTTCGGCATTAACAAAATCTCTACATGTTTTCTGTAACATTTGATGGGTATCAGACAGTGCAGATAAACAGGCAATACGCCTTATTGCAGGATTCTGAAGAGTACCATGTCGGCCTTTGGGGGGAACAAATAAATACACACACATAGGATATTTACAAATCAAAGTTCAGTTTAGCAATAAAAAAAATGTAAATATTTCTTTTCTTTTAGCAAATTTGTATACTTACCTAGAAATTTGCCTATATTAACGAGCGACTGCATAATGGAGCGGACAATTAGAATATCAGCAAATGAATGATTTTTTTTAGCATAGAAACTTAAATATAAATATGCACTTATCAAAGCAAAGTATAAAAAATAAAACAAAACGAACGCAAAAACGATGATTTTTAAACGGTTTCTATAGTCGATTGAAATTATCGATTTAGCGCCTGCATCAAGTAGGGGAAAGAGGAGAATTTCGAATATCGCATTTTTTTTTTTTACTAAATTTAAAAATTTACATCTAAAGCCTTACAATTGGATAAATAYTACACATAAGTATATCTCTTACCAATTACGGTTCATATATATCGCGAATATGGATATATTGTTAAATGCAATTAAGTTGCATTTGTTTTAATTTACTAATATTACACTATACTATATTATGCATACAATACGCAAAATTACATTACTTTCTACTCAAAGTAATAAATGATGTTTCTTTTTTTTCGTGAAAGTCGTCGTAAAAATTACCTTAAAATTATCAAAACAACATCATATTGTATTTACTGAATGTATCATGTCAATACATAMATTTTTCGATTATGGTTCAGTTGGAATTTCAAAGTAATGGCGAATTCTTTGTTTTAAATCGTGTTTGAAGTGTTCATGTACGAATGCAAATTCTACGGCATTCAGTGAAAGTTGCAGCAAATCGTTTTTCGTTAAGTTAAATGTATTTTTTGCTAATACGAATTCATTGGACAAGGTGGTGTCGAAAACACCACAATCGTCAGTGCATAATATTACTGCCGCGTTTTTATCATTAAAAAAAATATGTTTAAAATGATGATCGTCATAGCATTTTACAGTGGAACATTTCACATTACTCGTTAAACAGCATTCAATGGCTATATTTTTTCTATACATTTCATTTAGTTGAAGTTCATTTAGAAAAGTGCCATGACCACAACGTTCCATGCCGAATTTAATCATTTGATCAATTTCTGCAGGATTGTGAATTTCAGCACAATGCAAGGCTAACTTTAAATTGTTTTTTCGAGCTTTTTCCAATACTGGTATAAAGTGTATGAAATTACCCAGTTTCGGATTACCGCTGAAGTCAATACCAGAGATAATGTCTTTATAAGTGTCCTTTAGCTGTAATGCAATATTAACCGTTTCTTCAGCCTCAGCTATGCTTTTACTTCTATCAATAGATAGCAGCAGGCTCACATGAATACTTTCAATTTTCTTAGTACGTTCTATGGCCTCCAAAACACTTTTCACATATTCTTCTTTGGACATTTCCGAATTTTTCTTAGGAGTTGTGCGTAATTCCAAATAAATAACATTATCTTTGGCAAAATCTCTTATTGTTAGCTCTGTAGCCAATTGTAGGCCCCTCTTAGTGGCTGTTAATTCGTGCATAAAACGGAACTTAAGAAAGCATTGGTCAAGATTTCCACCATCGAATACCAACTCTTCGCTGAGTAAAACCTTTTCATTGGAATTCACGCCGTATACTTTTTCACACAACTCTTGAATTGATTTAGTGCACAATGACCCATTGAGATGTGCATGTAATTCAATCTTTGGCATCTTTCGTATAAAATTAGTAGTATCCATCGCACACAGGTTATTTCACTGAAATTTAAGCATATGTAGTTGTTTACCTTATCATATATTATGGGTAAAAACATTTTGAAATTTGAAATACCTTCTTTTTTTTATATTTCTGTATTTGCTCCATCAGCTGTGGATAAAGAAGTAAATAAGCGGTGATGATTGAAATCAATCGATAATATCGATATGTGTCAACAAGCATCCGTCAGATAAAAATGTATGATCTTACTTTGTAATATACAAGTTTTCTTAAAAAAAAAAGTAATTTTAACAGGGATTATTTGGTTTAGAGCTATATTTTAATATACCATGCTATTGTGAAAACGGAAATCTTAAAAATATTTTCAGTTCTCTTTATAATCTATGTCGTCCGGCTACAATTTTTTCTGATACGGCGCCATCTTGTGGCAACGAGTTAACGCAAGCAGCTGTTTATTTAGTACTGTTGTACAGTTTGCGTGAAAAATATCTAAATACATTTCAGTTTACGAAATTTTGGCTAAGACAATTTTTGAATTGTTTGTGTGAATCAGAATGGTTGGGTTATGTCGGTTATGTGCCGCTGTTCGTAAAAAGGATATGCTTATTCCAATGAACYTTGATATTTGCCATAAAATGAGGGAGTGCTTTGGAATTGAAATGTGTAACAGTGGTGATAAGCTTCCCAAATGTGYCTGCGGCCTCTGTTTAGAAACATTGGAAAATGCCTTTTCCTTCTTCCAGAAAGTAAAGGAGTCGCAGGAATCATTAGCTTTATTATTGAGTAGTTCAAAAGATGACAAATCTGAAAMTGTTAATGAAGTTTGTATTAGATTAAACGAAAGTGAACTAACTAATAGCCAAATTACTGCGCAATATATARAATCGGTTAAAGATGAAATTAAAGGAGTTGACATAGAGACCGATAATGTGTTGACATTAGATTCGATGGAGCTTAATATACAAATGATACATAGATGTATAGAAGAAGATGGTGGGGATAAATATAAAAGTTTGGAAATTCTAAATGTCATGGATGTCAATAGTTCGTTGACTGATATGGATGACAAAGTTGGAGGGGGGAGTCTCAGCCAACTTTCAGAAAACAGTACAGATGTTAAGATCGAAACATACTTTTTGGAAGATGTAGACGACGATTTAGAAGAAGGGTCAGAGGTTAATGCAGAAACCACGGAAGCAAAGTCGGGAGAGTTAAATGAAAACAGTTTCAAACCTACAATTATTGAAATCTTACCTGCCAACAATTGTGTAACCACTTCTTCGAAGGTTTGTTTTTGAGTAAAAATTTATGCATGTATTTACACATTCACAGAAGTATATATTTTCATTTCAGAGTTTTGAAACAACTGAAGTTAATAATGCTCAAGTATACGAATGGAGATTATATACCTGGATTTGTCATTCTTGTTCTGAGATTTGCGAAACTTTCGCTGAATTGCTTTTACATGCTAAAGAGAAACACGAAGTGCAAGAGGTCAATTATCTGCAATACAAGTGCACTGATTGTCAAAAAATTTGTGCGCATTATAATAAATTTCTTAATCATGTGCGATTCCGACATCATCCTGAATTAAGTTTGCGTTGCGATGCCTGCGATAATCAGCAGGAATCTTATCAACAATTATCTGCTCATAGAGAAAATTGTGCTGCAGCACAACAATATCCTTTAGTAGATTTGTGTAATATATGTGGAAAGAGTTTTCACAGTCGGAATGCTACATTAGTACATTCACGTGCACAACATAATGAGGAACATAGTGCCAAATCCAAGAGTCATCAATGTACTCAATGTGATAAAAAGTTCAAACGAGTGGCGAATCTGCGGGCGCACGAACATATTCATTCAGGTACGTCAAGCTATATTGCCCAAATATTGTTAATTAATAATAAATATTGTTAATTAATAAGCTATTATAATTTAAGGTTTAAAAGAGTTTGTATGTGATATATGTGATCGGAAATTTCGTCAGAAACATAATCTCGAAGTGCATTTGTATACACATATAAACGAACGARTTTTTGAATGTAAAATTTGCAATAAAAGGTAAATGATTTATTTTTTATTTCAATGAAGTATTTAATTATTCATCAAAACCATCATGTACATATGTATGTATATATTTAATTCCACAGTTTGAAAACTTCAACAAGTTTGGAGAAGCACCAGCTAATTCACAAAGATATCAAGAAGTTCGCCTGTGATTATTGTGATAAAGAATTTCGCACAAAAGATGCAAAGCTTTCCCATGAACGTATACACACTGGGGAAAAACCTTTTAAATGCAAGTACTGTGACCGGTGTTTTCGTTTTCGCAGTGGTTTAATGGTTAGCTTAAATACACTTTTGAAGTCATTTAAAAAAAAAAATACCTATAGTTTCGTTTAATATTCCCTACAGGGCCACATTAATTTACATACGGGSGATCGTCCATATTCCTGTCAGGATTGCAGTCGTCAATTCACCAACTGGGGCAATATGAACAAACACATGAAACGTTGTTCTAAACGCCAAAGCAGTGGAAAGAGTACGTAGTTATGTAGTTTTAACGATAACAAAGGAAAAACACTTCGATTTGTGTGGTAAAGGTGTATTTTTCTTAGAAAGTAATMCACAGCTTAACAGTTATTATACAATCATTATTAAAAATACGCGTATTCGCTTCTGGGTTGTKTTTGAAGTTACAACACATCTACGCTTTGGTCAGTTTGAGCAACTAATGTTAGACATGTAATATTGTATAATATATCCAAATAATACATCTAAATAATAATATAAGTGAAGACTTTGGTACAAATTTTCGAATAAATATGTTGAATGGGATACTTATATTAAATAATGTCACAYTTAAATAAAAAATTTAAGTTGCGTTTATGTTGGATTTCCATAGAATTTAATTGTAATATAGTAAAATTCCCACAATAAACAATTTGGTATAAATAAATCAAGTTTAAATAAATTATCGTATGCCCTATAAAATTTACTTCGTACACGATACTTTTCACTGACTTTACAATTGTGAAAAATAAGTAGTATTATTTACTTTTTATTAAAAATTCAAATTTATTCCGAACAGTTTAAAAGTTTTTAGCTGAACTCATTTTGCAAACACATCTATATTATATTCCATAATGGCGCAGAGCATTTGGGWTAAACAGTACAGTACAACTGGAAATATGTGGTTGTATGAAGGAAAATTTTCATCTATTTCCAAATTGTCGGGAATAAAAAGAGGTSAAGTAAAAAGCATACATTGACTGGCAACTCGTATTTGTCCAATTGCAATTACGTCTCTTATCCGCCGTCATTTTAAATGTCGTTTGTTCGTTTCCGATCTGATTTGTAGAAGTGGTGAAACTTGTGCGTGTGGTGTTTTAAAAAGGATAGGGAAAAGTTCAATTTTTTTTTTAATACATAAGGTAGTTTTGTGTTAAGGKCTTATACTAAATAGATTAAACTTTGGGTGAGTATACAATAATATTATGTTAAAATCACATTCCAATTGGTTGTGCTTCGTAGTTCTTCTATAGTAAAAATTTTTGTTTTGTAAAAATGCGTAAATAGTTTGAGCTACATATGTACATACGTGCTCCTTTGAGATCTTTGAGACGCCAGTGAATAATCGCACTCAATTTCATTTTACGGTCATYCATCACAGTCTCATGATGATTTGATTTCTAGATCTTGACAGTTTAATATGCAAGGACCAACTATTTAAACACGAAATTCACTTTTTTTTTTATTGTGAAGAGAAACTGCAGAGGTGGTGTCACTTTGGGTCTAATATTTTGAGTACGGTTGAATGAAGTAACATGTYCCTTTGATATTAACTTATCGAAAGGAAAGAATAGAAATTTTGTGTGTTTTGTGCGCTATTTCGATCAGAGGTTCCCCAACATAACAGCAATCGGCTTTGTAGTGGAAAGTTCTACAGTGAAATCAGCTACTAAATTGGCGGCGTTGCGTGAATTTTCCAGAAGAACGGTGGAGTTACTAATTATCCGAGAGACAAGGGGATGTTCGAGCAAGCAAATAATTGCACCAATATGCAACACTGTTTTTTTTTCAGATACTTAGCTGATACTTATATTGTAATATTTTTGCGTCGAATATGATTCGCTGCTTACCAGTGATTCAGTTTCTACATCTCATAGATTTCGAATTACACTTAAAAGAGGGTGGATGGCGCCGGAGCATRTGACTCGTCACCCGAACTTGCAGACGGATTCAAAATGGCTAATGGATTGGGCGCCGGAATCTATTGCTCTAAGTTAGAATTGTGGCGCCCTTCAAGCTTTCGAAATACTGCTGAAGTCTTTGCGGTTAGGAAAGGTTCTGAGATAGCTTACAATACCGGAAATAATATAAAATAGATTAAACTCGATAGTTAAAGAGCTTATATATTGGCCATAATTGCCCAAAGTGATATCCGTCGGGCTATCGTACAGTAAGCAAGTCCCTAAAATCGATAAATTATGAAATTTCTAAATGGAAAAAAACGCGATTGCGTTTTACTCACTTCGTCTCGTCGTCTCGAAAGGACTACATTACGATTGTTGCGCCAATGACAGGACACAACTTATCAGCATCACTTGCCAGCCGGATGGGCATTACTAACAACGCCACGTGCAGAAAGTGCTGGAAGTAGGTTTTAGAGACATGCTTGAATACTTTATCTGCTTTTGTTCAGCCTTATCTAGAACTCGTCTTAGATATTTAGGAGCTTCACTTTTCAAGGGACAGAATGAAGTATCAAAATTAGATATCAATCCTCTTTTAGAATTAACAAAAACGATTGAGGCCTGTTTTTCGAGTACTTCAGTTTGAATTAAATTGAACATTCATTTGACATTACTGAGGAAAAGTAGGTCTAKGTGTGGCGTGACAGTCGACTAGTATAACCTACTCAGGATTAGAGGACAAAAATACATTTTAATCATTGAAAATAGCTTTAATATGTTTCAAAATATTATCCATTAAAAGCTATACTTTTGCCACACTGATTATGGCATCTCTAAAACATGCAATAACCGTTTCTTCAGTTTTCAAAACGTATATCTTTAACGCACGAGAATAAAAAGAAATCATTCGGTCCTATGTCAGGACTATAGAGTGGATAACTTATCAAATTTATGTTTTGAGTACTCAAAACTAGTCGATGTGTGAGAGTTTGCAGAGGCGTGGTGAAGAGTCATCCGTTTTGTTGTATTCGGCTTACCTTAGAACACCATGTAGTCGACAGATCTTTACTTTCGAGCGCATACGCGTAAATACACGTTTCTTCATCTGTCAGGATGCTATAAACGTGTTTCGAACCAGAGCGATCGTATTTTTTGACTTTTCAATCGATTGTCAAACTGTGCGGGATCCAAGGTTAAAAAATTATTTTACAATCAAATGTCCACACAATATTGGATGTATGCTGTGCGTTTATTTGTCCCTATTTCACGATAGGTCATATAGATCTGGTAATATTTGTTTGTGTACAGCATCAACAACTTCCGGAACAATAACTCTACGACCTCGATTGAATCCAACATACCATCGATAAACAGTGGCCCTTTATGGAGCTTCATTGCCAAAAACTAAATTAAGTTTATCGATGCAGAGTTGCTAACTTAAGTCCAGCGATGAGGTCCATTTCTGACTCAATGCGTATGTAAACCAGCAAAGTTGCCGCATTTGGAACGGCGAGCAACCTGAAGAGATTCAAGGGTTGCCATTTTATCCAGAAAAATTGCTGTGGTTTGCAGGCGGAATCATCGGTCCATATTTCTTCAAAAATGATACTGGTAAGAGCGTAACCGCCAATGGCTACCGTTATCACGTCTCGATAAACTATATTTGATGCCTAATTTGAAGCTCGTGATCTCGGCGACAATTCGTTTCAACAAGATGACCCCAATTTCTACACATCGCAACAATCAATTGATTTATTGAGARAACACTTCGGTGTGCAAATAATTTCACGTTTTGAGCAGATATCACACGGTTAGACCCTTTCCTGTGAAGATATGTAAGTCTGAAGTCTATGCAGRCAAAGCATCTTCTATTCAGGCCTTGAAGCAAAATATCACCCGTGTCCTTCGGCAGTTACTAATGTAAATACTCAAACGAGTCATCGAAMATTGAAGTCAAGGSATGGACCATCTGAGATGTAGCCGCRKCCAACAATAGAAAAAGATAATCTGCAAAAACTAAATACCAAAGAGTGTTCTTTCGAATGATAATAAACATTCCCCATTAAATTTGAAGCTCCTGTGTTTTTTTTTTAAGTAGGGGAACTCGAAATGGATCACTCTTTATAACAAAAATATCAAACATAATGTTGTGAGTTGCCATATTACAACACTAGGGTTACCAATCCCAGATATATGTATATAGGCAACCTACATACATCTGCATATTTTTGCAGCATTTATTCACTGAAATATTTGCATAAACTAATACTTACGTGCTTCCAGCCAACTACTGATTCAAATAATTACAATGCTCATATTTAAATTTCATAATTTTTTATTATTTTTTTTATTGTTAATTTTATTGCATGCACAAAAATGTTAATCTTACCATTTTATATTCTAATATATTTTTTCATACCTATAATGTGTATGTAAGTATGTATGCATGTATGTATGTATGTATGTATGCAGTACTATGTAATTATTTTCATTCATGTCTATACTCTTTGTGTTGTCAACACATAGCACAACTATTTCTATTATATGTATCTCAATTAATATTTCAACTTTGTATAGTAATTTCATCTTTACGCTAYATTTTCCTTAGAAATCCTTAACGGTCCACATACATTTGGTATGTACTGTCTTACATTTAACGCTGCAAATTCAAACTTTACAACCAATAATAATTCTGCATACATTTAAGAASACGAGTCGTACATTTTTTCTCATTTTGTTTTGCGATCTTTCTTTAAAAATTTGAGGTTAAAAACATACAGTTTATTTTTATATATGGCTGTGGTCTTTTATTGTTTGCAATTGTTTTATAACAGCTGTTTAAAGAATTCGGTTTTTAGGTTTTTTTTTTATATTAACTGCAACTACAATGAGATATTGAAATGAAATCAAATAACTTAATGGTTTTGGTATTAAACAATTTTGCTTTCATTTGCCTAAGATAATAAATATTTTGCTTTAATTATTTTTTATCAATTATTTTTGTACATTAGTATTTTAGAGTTTTCCTCATTAGTATTTCGGCGTAATAAATTTTGGTTTTCATCTCGTAGCTTGGCTAAGCATGTACTTATTGGCATTAGAGAAAACTGGTCGCTGTACATCAAAAGATATGTAATACAAATTTAAATAAAAAGTTAAAATAATATGAAAAAGATTTATACAATTTTTGCATATAAATTATTATTATTTTTTTTTCGTTTGTGGATTTGCTCGTGTAAATTTAGTACTTTATTTACTTGTAAACGAACTCAGTCATTAAGGGTTTATTAAGTATTTATTATGACACATTGTAACAAGTAATGCTATAATAATGATTATAGTGAACCTCGCTTAATTGCATTGCATACATGAAAAGTAAAATAAATACTATAGAAAATAATAGTTTTATGTCGACGGCTTATCGTTTCTTCTATATAAATATATTGTTAAGAATATGGCAACTCCAAATTTTTATATTGACGGCATATTTGAAAATAGTRACTTATGTAATGTACGAGTACAGTAATCAGAAAACAATGCTGATATTACTGAAAACGAAGTGTATCGGAATGAAGAAGTTATATATAGTTGGAATTTTCCAAAATTGGTTTTTTTTAAATTATATTTTCAGCAGAGTGCTAGAAAGTAGAAGGCCAAACTTTAAACGCGTTTTTCTCAAAATGGTGTTTCAAAGTTGGTAACCAACATTAGATGGAAACGCTTAAACCGATTCGATTTAAATTGTAACACAAGCCTCTTAAATATATTTTTTTTGTAATTAATCGAAGTTTTTTTTCTCAACGAAAAATATTTTTTTTTTATAAACAATTTAAGTCTGAAATCTGTGTCAAAAATCGATTTGTTTTTCTAGAAATCGTTATTTTGTCAAAAAAATTTATCTTATTTTATTCCTTCGGTTAATTTAACATTGCTTTAACGAAATCTGTKYWTTTTTAATTTCAGTGGATTCAGTTCAGAGATATAGTGGTCATCGCCAAACGTCATTTTTGAGAGGAGCTTGCGATGATCAGCTGTTGTTCCTTTCCAAATAAATATTTTTACTAGTACTAAGTCTTAAAATGCGGTTAAAGGATACCATAATATTTATACACATTTTTGGATCAATAACTTTAAAAGTTTTCTCAAAAACTGCCTGAAAATGTTTAAATTTTCGGCCTTCTAACTGTATAAAACCCCTGTAGTAAGCCTTAAGATACAAATGTATTGTTGTGTCTTAATTTTTTCCAGATACAAATGTATGTGTCTTAATTTTTTCCAGTTTAGTTGGCATGACATCTGGCATTCAATAAACTTATATTCATTGAAAAAAACATGATATTTTTCTTTTCGTTGAAAATCTAAAATTTTGTACCGAAAAGTGATCATTTGCGAAAAGCATTAAATTTGAAAATATTCTTGAAGTTGATCTGACAAATAGTTCCGAAGAAATACACTCGTAAGAATTTTTCAACATAGTGTAATCAGCTTCCAAAATTTTAAGTACGTTTTTCTGGAAACGATGTCTTCATACTAGTCAAAGAGGAAACTTCTACGAAAGAGCTGACTGCACCGAAATTTTCACATAATCTTCTAAGATATACATCTTTGTCAGGCAAAGATCGAAAGTATAAGATTTTTGAAATWAWTTTKRTTTTTTWARSCMMYTYCYWAAWTWTTTYMMAAAAAACGACTTATGTTTGGTTAGCTGCCGTTTTGTTAAAAATTTAAATTCTAAAATTTCTAATATTTATTTGTTTTATAATATTTTTTYTTTGGTTTCTGAGTTTCACATAATTTTTAGCAGAATAATTATGCTCATCGGCAGCCACTCTTTTTCGGGGGTCTTTCTGAAGTCGGCTACGGCAACAAGAAAAACAATTTTTTTTTGGTTCAAAATGAATCGCCGATTATTAAGGTAAAATAAATATTAATTTTTTTGTAATGTATAAAAAAATGGCACAAACAATGTTTTTTTTTTAGCAATAATTGATAAGAAATAAATGATTTGAGTCATAATACTGAAATTATTTGAGAGAAAAAGATCAATTTTAGCTGAAGATTAAAACAGGGTTTTGAAATTTATAGCAAGCATAAGATTATTTCCGACTTACAGAGACATGATGACAAAATTTATGTGCATATTTTACACATAACCTCAAAATATTGTTTTATTGTTTGCAATTAAGCGGCGCTCACTGTGTATAAGAATTAGCTTATTGCAAATTAGCTGCTCAGTTTTTCAATTAACATCAAGAATATGTTGTTAATAAACAAAGTGGTTTTAGCTCTACATTAGAGTATTTATTAATGCTTTTATTTACAATATTTTTTTTTTTTTGGCTTACTATATTTAACATTAACTTTAACATTTTTAATCACTTACTTTTTTGGTAAAGAATTACTTGTTTTGGTTATAACATGAGTACACTAACATAAAAATCAGTCACATACACAAATACAAATACAATATTTTTTCTTTTTGATTTTTTAATTAAATTCATGAATCAAAAATAAATGCTTAAGTATTTATTGCATGAAAACATGGCTCAATTACGCTGGCAAAAATTAATTGTTTGCTTAGTATAATTAGTACATTTAGAAATACTGCTAAATATTTTTCTATATAACTAACAGTAGCGTTGGGTGTCAACTAATACCGCCAGAACGCTTTGATTACTGCTTGGACACTTTCGCCAGTTTGCGCAAGCCGGCGGCTTCGGCTTAGATTTCTGCGCTGCCACGTAAAAAGATATCAGCGCCAACACCGCTGCCACGACTAATGGCACGGTTCGGTTTCGTGCGTTGCCTTACTTCTCTTCCCTCTTCTACGGCTTGCACTTTGCTGTCAGCCAAATCCATTGGTTGCTGTTGTTTTCTGGGCGTTGGCGGTGCCGCATATTTGCGACTAGCGGCACGTTGATAGCGACGCGCTTGTACGGCCAAATCATCAAGCAGTAGTTCGTTTGTCGACTTAGCGCGCTGTGACGCGAAGCTCGGTCGTGGCGCGCCATTTACCGCATTTACACCACTGACACCGCTATTTGATTTTATATGGTTGATTGGTGGCGGTGGTGGTGCGGTCTTTTTGCGCTTAGGCTCGTCCTTATTCTCACGCGTATTCAGCTGCTGTCGTATAAATGACTGACTCAATGTAGAACCGCGTAGAAAATCGCCATCAGCATCACTCCGTTCATTGGCCGCTTCGCCTTCGCCTATCTCGCGATATAAATTTAATTGTGGTGAGTATTTGTGCAGCGCGTGCGTCATTTGTTCAATACTTAGTTGATCCTGCTTTAGTAGACTGTCGGAGGGCATTTTAACAAATGGCCGCTTTACTTTCGTTTGTGTTGCTTTGAGGCGATCGAAGAGATTATGTAGTGTTGTGGCGCGTTGCTTTTGTTTCGCCAATGGCATTATGGTGCGTTTGCGCTTAGGCGTTTTTGCTGCATCGGCAACGGTGCTATTTGTTGACCAAGCGTTTGTTGTTGGCGTTGCCGCCTTTTTGTGTGTGCTCGATGCTAAAGTTGGCAGTTTCATTGGCGTGCTGCCTGGGCAACCAATGTTATTGATGCGACTCGAGCTAAGTGACTTAAAAACATCATCGTCCAGTTCACTTAAACTTACCATTTGCTCATCACAACCCTCAGAATATGTGGTAGCACGGCTTAACATTGCCGGTGCGCTGAATTCTTTCTCATCTTCTTCATCATCATCGATGCCACTGTAACTGGCGAATATTTCATCAAAGGCGGCACTCACAATGAGCGCTTCGTCATGTTCAATGTTTATGTGCGCGCCAACATYTATATTTTCTTCTTCGTGGCTAACACGCTTACTATTGTGGTGTGCGCCACTATAGTCATAACTATTGATATCTTCACAACCTTTATTGACAGATGTTAAACGACTTGATATGGTGCCAAAAAGATTTTTACGATAATCATCATCCAGATGGCAATACTGCTGCATCAAGTGATCATCGTCCGCTTTTGCAGCGTGCGCAACTTCWGCGCAGTGCAAACTTAAAGTGCTGTGTCGCTTAAGAGGGCTACTACGTGGCGACAATACATTACTACTGTCGGCGCCAGGTAGCGACTGAGCGCTTAAGCTACTTTCGAGTTTAGTGTGTGCTGTTTTTGACGGTGCACGTTTAGCGCTGTTATTGAAAGCAGCCAGCAGCTGCTGTTTGCTAAGTTTTATGAGGCGCTGACGTGATTCGTGTGATTTGCGCTTTAGTTGATGATATTTACTATTACTAGTGCCGTGCTGAGAATGGCGTGACGCATGTGTGGGCGTATCATATGTGTATGTGGTTGTGTGTRTGGCGCTCTTAAGCGTTGGCGTATACTTACAACTTCTCTCGGYCAACTGTTCGCGCTCCCACTGTTGCTGCTGTTGCAACGCCCAAGCGCGTTCCTTGGCGCGCTCTTGATCGGCAAGTTTGCGTTGCATACTAAGCGTTTCGAATGTGTGCACCATACTGCCCACATGTGAACGCACCTCTGGTATACCTAAATCGCCACTGAAAAGATCACGTTGATGYCGTTGCTGCGCTGTAAGCAGCTCACCACCGCTAGCGCGCTTATTTAGCGTCGTTATACCGGTGGCATTTTTATAAAGCGCACCGGCTGAGACGCTAGGACGTAGCGCGTCATGTTGGCGACGACGCTGTGGAAAACGTTCTATAAATTCTGTCGCTTCTTGTTGCCAAAGCAGTTCGCCATCGAATGTGGCTTTTGTGGTTGTTGTTGTTTTATGTGAGACCGGCTGTATTTGCGTTGTTGTTTTGTTTTGTCATATTATGTGTAACGTTGTATTGAAGAAGTGTGTGTAAGTTGTATGTATAGGTGTGGTTGTTGTGGGCGTGTCCAAGCGACGGACATGAAAGTATGCAATATTGAAGAGAAAAGCAAATTAAAATTGAAGCCAAACAAAGGAAAGTGTGTAAATAATAAGCATTGAAAAGAGTTGAAGTGTTACTTGCTTAAKGAAAAGATTGAGAATTAAAAAAAAAAATAAAAGTCTGAAGTTGTGAACTGTGTATGTTTTTTACGTAACTCTCAAGATACTAATGATCTTAATTACTTGAGTATACAACGAAACATTAYTTACCACAGCGCCACCTGCTGGTAATCTGAAAAACATCAATCCCTATTCTGACGTCACCTTAGCTACTACTAGTCTAATACTTTTCAGTTTTAAAGTCTGAAAATAATSTAGAACGTGCGTTATTTTTGGCACTTGTCGAGATCTCAAAAGATTCAAAGGGCATTTAACTGGCATGGTACTTCAACTATGAGAGGGCTCACTGTGAGGGTTTTTATTTTTAGAAAACTGARCTTTTGACATTCCTTGGTGCAGAATGATGATTCTACTTTCTCAAGTTTAAAGGCCAGTTGTCAGCGCTAAGTTCTTTGTGACGACCCCTTTCAAACTATTCAGACTCCTCGTTCCTAAAAGTTGAAGTCGAAGCACGATCCAGGCACTCACCGAGATCTCAGAAGATTCAAAGCGCATTTAAACTAGCACTGAAACTAATAAAAGGGTTTACCAGTCCGTGTTTACTGTGAAGGTTTTTATTTATTTATTTATTTGCTAAATGAAAAATAATAATACAATTACCAGCAAATAATAATACAATTATTATTTTACAGAGTAAGAAGAATTAGTTGCCAGGGCTTACGGCTTTGAAGGTTTTTACTTTATGAAAATTAGAGACTATGAAAGATATTTGACTTTTCTTCGTGCACAATGATACATCTATTTTACCAACTTTGAAAGGAGACTTCTCAGCGGTGAATTCATTGTGATGACCGCTACCAAACTTTTCAGTCTCCTCTTTCCTAAAAGTTGAAGTCGGATGTCAATGTTCTTACGCAGTTGACTAAACTCAGCTAAATTCTAAATTGAGGCATTTTACTATATTTGAAACCTAAATCTATTTTGCAAAAACTACATACTACCTACTATCTACTATAATATCTACTACATACCTGTAATTAATAATTATTTCAGATCTAGCCCAGAATATAACTTTACAAAGTTTACAATAACCCGTCATAATATATAATGTGGACTGGGCTATTACAGCTTGTATTGAGTAGGCATTCAATCAAAATTTTATATGAGATATTTCTGTATAATAGGCCAAGAAGATTTGTTACTTTAAATATAAATTTCAGAAATGCATAGACACTGATTAAACAGTTAATCATCTATTAAGCGGGCGATAACTGGCATTGGTAGCTATACCTGCCGAATTTTTCTATGAACTGCATCTACACTTCCCATCAAAATTTGAATAATTTCAGAATTTTGTGAACTCCCTTTCCTAATTGGTGCTTGTATGAGATACTTTTCCTATAGTTGGTGAAAGACTTGAATTTATGAAGAGTCTTTGCAGTTCGAAGGTACTCGCTTGGTTTTTATATAAGTATTAACATAGTTCAGGTTAGGTTAAGRGATCGATCCTAACAGGAATTTCAGTTGAACAGCCTAGCACGCCGGTACGTTATAGTACCCAAAACTTCTATATAATGTATTTAATGGATCACAAGACAAAACATCATAATGCTCTGAGCCGATCACAAATTTTTTTAGGCGTTTAATGGCCGTTTCGGTTATATTTCCTGGTACACTGAAAGTCGAAATGTTTCAACCTCATACTGGCAAAAGCCGCACAATAGAGAAGAAAGTGGCTGGATGTTTCAACGCYACCTTGCTCTATACAAAAACTTATATCCTTTAGCATTTTTGGCCTTACCGCATAAATACCTATTAGATCATATATAAAAAAAAGCTACTAAATTGCGGCAACATGAATTTTGCYAAGCGCAAGAAGTTCAGTAGATCTTTTGCGATGAGCTCAGTACTCATTCATACTGATTGCTCACTCCTTGAAAGAGGCAACAGCTTGTTGGATTACGATCTACATATATCTAAGGATTATCATATAAAAAATAAATTGAGTGTTTAYTTAAAATTATGATTAAGGATTTGTTTAAGAAAAAAGTCTACACGTTGCAGATTCGTACGCAGTCGGTACACATTTTCGAGATGTTACGAGTGAAGGCCTAAGAATCGATACATTTTCGGAAAATCAATTTAAAATTTTGGCTTTCAGCCAATGTTAGACAAATAAATTAATAAAAAAAAAACATTTCTTAGATAAAATTTTGGCGTTCGTTGTAATTAAGCCAACAACAAAAATAAAAACAAAGACAAAGTAAACAGATATTATAAAACACTTATGACAAATGCATGACAACAACAATTGAGAGTGTTGTACAATGAAGGAGAGAAATAGTGATAACGAATTAATGATAAAGCTACTTACATTGTATAAAAGTGAGATTTAAATGTAGCAACGCATGAATGACACGCTTGTGTGCCGGTGTTTTTAAGTATGTGCAGGTATACATTTTGCTTTTTTGCAGGTATACATATGTGAGTGTGTGCCTGTGTGTGTATGTGCAACATAGATGTGAGATTGGATGTAATTCAATTCAATGCTGCCGGTTTCAGCGGAGTTCAACACAAATGCCGTGTTATGCAATACTGCTCACATAAACATATACATAAAGAGTATGTATGTATGTGCGACAACAATAATATGTGAATACAGACTTGTAAATATGCGCATGGGTACGCTTTGGGAGACATAGCTGGGTAGACATGGTACATATGCGTATGCGGGAGGCAATGATTTAATAGTAATTATTATCGCATTGCATGCTCTCGCTGGAGCTCGAATATTGACTGGTCATCGAATTGGCTTTGCTGATATTATTTATTTGCGTTGTGTTGTTGCTCGCATTGCAATTGYTGTTTTGTTTGCGCTCCTTACCGCCGCCACGATTCATTTTGCCAGACTTTTCGGTGGCTGACGATTGTTGTTGTTGTTGCAGCGAGCGACTGCTGCGCGATTTCGTTGGTTTTAGTTGTTGTTGTTGTTGTTGTTGTGACAAATGTTGTTGCTGTTGGTGTGCGCTGGCCTTACTCTTATGTGTCTTGCTGCCGCCGCTTTTGCTATGCTTTAAACTATGATGATGATGCTGCGACTGATTCTGCGCGCGCTGCGGACCGTTGCCGCTTTGATAATGCTGCTCACTTTGCTGCTGCTGTTGCTGTTGTTGGTAGTGATTCAATGTGCTATTGCTGTGATAGAGYACAGCATCCTGTGTGGAACCATCATTACTGCCGCTGCCGCTACCACTTGCAGTGCTGCCACGCCCATAAATCTGCGACTTCGACTGACTGCGATACAAATGTAAATTGGCCACACCGTAGGGATCGAGGCTGTCGAAAGTCTGCAAGTAGTGCGGACTTATTTGATTATAATCACCCATACAAGCGGACGTATTCGATGKGGTCGCGCCGGCGCTGCGTCGATCCAACGTGTTGGTGCGTTGTGCATGCGCGGGCTCGCGATAATGYGGCTGATGGCCGCCCTGTCCATGCTTATAGTGCGTTTGATTGCGTTCGCGATAGTCCAGCGAATTGAAGTGATGCGGTGCCACCGGTTGGAACGTCGATAACGACGTCGAGCAGATGGTTGGCGATAATGCGTTGGCAGCCGATGCCGTTGTGGCGTTCGGTAGCATAGTGGAATGATGGCCATGGTGTGCTAAATAGCCMAGTGTGCTGGTGGTGGTGATGGTGTTGTTAGGCGATTCAAGTGTAAGTGGGTGTGGCAGGGGTGCGGGTCTGTCTGTGTGATTGAATTTATGAAGRCCAGTGTGATTGTTGATGGTGGTGGTGTTGGTGGGTTCGTTGCTGCGGCCGCACTTGATCGCTACAAAGGAGGTCGGCAATGGCGGMAGCGGTGGCGTGTTGGAGCGYACCACATTCAAGGCGGCGGCAGGCAAAGATGTTGCTGCCGTTGYTGCTGCGTTGTTGCTGTTGCCGCTGTTGTTGTTGTTGTTGGTAGTTGTGGTGGTTGTGTGGTGACTGGTGTGGTTGTTGTTGTTTTTGGTTAGAGTGGTTGTGGTGGTGCAGGTGCTGGACAGGGTTGCCAGTTCGCGCTACGCACCATGATGGTTGCCAAATGTGCGCAGTACCGGCACACTCTACATGCCATAGCAGCATACAACAACAATGATCCCCGATACGGTGTGAGTTTTGTAGGCGTGTGCATAAAAGGAATTTGGTTTTGTTGAAAAAGAGTTCATAATTGAATTCGTTAACGATTTTAGTGGTTTACTTTGGTTTTGCAAGTTAATAAGAGTTTGGAGTTTTTTTTTTGTTTTTGCAAAAAAGGTAAATAGCAAATAGCCATAAGATTAAATAACAATGTAGAAAATTTCAATATTTTTGTAGAGAATTTATAAATAAATTAGTATACTTTTTTATATATGAGTTGTAAATTTTCGTGGATTTCTTTTGTAATTTTCGTCGAACTGGTTTGTTATTGTAATTAAATTTGTTTTAGTTTTAGTTACTGTRATTAAATAGTAGTAGTAAGTAGTTATTATTGTTGCAATAGCTGTAGTAATATCGCTTGATTTCAAAATTACTGTGAAGCCAAAACAACTAAAAGTTTACAATTAAAAGCGTCGAAAAAGTGAAGCTTAGAAAAAACGTAAAAAAAATATTTATTTTATTAAAAAAAAAAAGATAAATATACAAATGTACATGTGTAGATAAGTTGTGAATGAAGTTGCTGAACAAATGTGCATGACTGTCGATTGTTTTTTGCAAAGTGAGAACACCATATTACTACATACTCAGTGTTAGGTTTTCCAACTCTACATTTATGTTTATTGAAGGAGAGTGGTGAAATTACCGCAAAATCGTTGAGCTACGACTACTATTTACGTTTAGAAATTAAAAAAGATTCTAAAAAAACGTAAGGGCATAAAAAACCAAATCATAACAATATATGAAATAATAAAAGTTAAAAAAATGAAATACATTTTACTTTAGGATATGACAAATGACAGGGAGGGCTGACTAGTGATGTTACAAATCGACTCTACTAGTAAATAGTAAGTAATATAATACAATACATGATACAAATATACTTATAAGTTACTAATACTAACTACTGTTTAGCAAAGCGCTACAAAAGTTACAAATAATATTTAATACAATTGACGTATACACTAAGATAAGCCGAAAAATAATTACATATGAAATTTGATTATTTTCATGGATTACACATTTTTCAAAAAGTTATCAATGAGATTTCGAAATATGTCAGTGGGATAGGGTATGAAAAATGTCGAGTTAAAAAAAATACTGAGTGCAAGTTTCACGTTGAAAACACAATTCGCAAAATTTTTGGATTTGTTTTTTTTTTTAATATTGTTTTTAATAAATTTCACAGATTTCAAAATGTATCTGTGGGATAGGAAAAAGGTTAAAACTTCGCTTTGAAGCTGTTGGCAATATATTTATTTATACATTTTTTTATTATTTTTTTATACATATATTTTTTAATTTCTTTATATTTTTTTGTATTTTCTTACCCAATTTCACCGATTTAATTAATTTAGAAAAAAGTTGCAAGCAAGCTGTTTTGTTATTTATTAATTTTTTTTTGCTTTTAATTGTTTTTTAATAATTTTAGATTAAAAATTTATTTTTGTATATATATAATATATTTTTACTCTTTTTCACAGAGTTAAATATATCAGTGGGACAGCGAATAAAAGCGTCGCGATTAAAAAAAAAAGATTGAAACCTTAAAATCTCGCTTTGAAAACAGAATTTCGAAAGTTTTTTTTTTAATTTATTTTTTATTATTTTAATATTTTGAAATATTTTTTTACTAAATTTCACAGAATTCAAAAAAAGCCAGTCGGGTAGGGAGAGAATGCATGCTTTCATTTCTGCCAAAATGAGGGGTGTATATGGTATAATATTGAAATTAATTCCTACTGCGGCAAAAGTGAGCCGTAGCCGAAAAAGCCACGTCATAGCCGGTCAAAAATTAAAGTTATGTGGTCAATTTTCTACGATTATCGAGGTGTGGTGCACTCCGGATTCCTTCCGACCGGCTAAACTGTCAAGACGGAACACAAGTAGAGTGTTATGCATCATTTGCGCGAAGCTATTCGTAAAAAGAAGCCGGAATTATAGACGGGCAACTCTTGGTTTTTGCACCACGACATGCACGTCGCAAAGTGCCTTGACTCTTCGTGAGTTTTTCGCCAAATTTCCAACCAATATGGTGCCGTAAGCTCCGTGTGACTTCTGGCTATTCAGCAAATTCAAAATACCGCTTCGGGGAAACCATTTTGAATTAATTAAAGAAATTAAACGTGCATCGCTAAGCGCATTGAAGCCAGTTCCGAAAATTGACTTTACCAACTGGTTCGAGGATTGGCAAAAATTGGCAAGGGAGATTATTTTGAGTTGGAGGATATAAATTTTGAAGAATAAATTAAGAATTTTAAAATATGACGAAAGTCTTACTATTTTTTGCTCATAGTAGTATTTTTATTTCCTTATAGTGAGGGAGAAGGTACCTACGAAAAGAAAAAGCTCTCACGAAATCATAGACTTCATTAAGWAGCTAGATGTTAGTGAAGAAATTACTTTGTTTTGCACAAGATTGTATTCATTTATATGAAGGATACGTAGAGAACTAAACTAGAGATTAGAAGGTATTGAGTTCATAAAATTATGTMAAAGTCTATGGAAAGATTGTAAAGCGTAATGAGAAACAAAATATATATTTTTTTGTTTATATATTTGACTTTGTAGGAAGTAAACATGGAGCTGTTGACGCATATTAAAAGAATCTCTTTTGGTTTGTTGTTTTTTGGTTAATTAGGATTACAGCAGAATCTATAATAAAGTACGTTTTTATTTTAATATAGCAAAGCTACGCAATAATAGAATAAATGAATAAAATATCGATCTTATATACGTATATCATCTAACTACATATGTATGTGTGTAAGTAGAGCGCCAACATGTGTAATAGCTTACCAAATATTACACACCACTACATAAGCAAACTTGTCACATATGAAGTTTTATTATTATAATATTTAGATTTTGTTAAATTGAATAAATATTGTTTCATCATTGTTTGAGTTTTTGATTTACTAAGTACATTTTCGAATACGACGCTGCGTTTTTATTACAACATTTACTACAACACCCATACTAAACTATGTAAAAGCATGCATTGGAAACATTCCACTATTTACAAGTAATTATTAAAAACTACATAAAATATATAAAATATAATCATTAAATATTTATTTACACGAACATGCAACATTAACACACACGCCGTTATAGTGCTTCGTGCAAATCTCGTGCGCTTTACTTTAAAACAATAAATATACAATTTTRTACATTTAAATATATATGTATTGCAACGGCATGCAGACACGTGGCTAATTTACTTAAGCGACACACGGAATGTAGCGAAGAAATTTTTGAGCTAATTAAACAATTTGAAGGGAAAAAGAAGACGACACACTGCAATGAGAAGAAATAAAAAGTTCAACTCTAGCATACAACATGCGAAGAGGTAAGCAGCAATTTCGCTTAGCTRCCAGCAGTGTGCAGAGACAACAACAATAAGAGCATAATTTCATCATGCAGTTAGCATCACTTTCAGACACACGTTGTGCGCAACAATTGTGTAGCGCGAGCCAGCGGCGTCGTCAGCCTTTACTGTTGAGGGCTCTTTTCTTATATCCAAGTTCACCCCGTTGCAGGAATGAGCTAAAAATGTTAKTCAAATGATTGCCTTATTGCAGTCAGAAATCATGTTTGTTATCCGATCTGGAAAATTTCCATGAAGATTATAGTGTTGCCTTTTGAAAATAATCTACGCCGAATTTCGTGATGATATCTGGTCAAATAAAAAAATTTTCCATATGAGAACTTGATTTTTATTGGACATTCTGTATGGCAGTTAAAAGCTAAAGTGATTCGACATCGGCGTTTCCGACAAATAAAAACATTTTGGAAATTTAGAAATTTCGATTTACACTGATGGAATAATGACTCCAGAGCAAAATTAATATAATCGATTATTAACCCCTCCAAATCTACTTTTGAGACCGTGTCACTGTCGTGCGAGTTTAAGGTAAAAACCAATTAAGTCGCAGCAAAGTTTGAGTATTTTTTGCATTTAATTTACACCTCTTTATTGCATTCTACTTAAGTAGTCGTAGCTTTTAGCGCGCGCACAGCAAAGTTTCTCGTATTTAGCACGGATAACGCTGAGACAAACAATTAGCGACAGGGGTTATTGGTTGGCTGAATAAATAGGGGTCTTAGTAGCTGCTTGTTGCCTTAAGGTGCGCATCTCTACGGAACGACAAAGCAAACACACACTTCCGAAAGCATCTATGTAAGTATAGATGCCAATACAGTTAGAGCTAGTGGGGTTAAAGAGTATCTGGCAGAGGTGTACGAAAGAATGCAAATAGACATTTGCTCCGCAATGCGAGACAAGAGTTGAAATATTTAAGTTTTCATTGCCAGCGGGTTAATGGCGCTTGCAGCTGTTGACACAAAGAACTGCACAGAGCGGCGGAGATGGGAGATAAAGAGCAGCCAGCACGCACTTATGCTGTAAACTTTAACTTGGAGTTGATATTTTGAAATTAAATGCAGAGGAAGATAATAAAATTACGCGTGCRTTAAATGAAGCGTACGAATGGCGAAGTGTGTGTAAAAGATTTTAGTCGCAAGAATGACGGTAAAATAGAATGAATAGAACATGTCGTCACAGGAATTTCAAATAAGCTGAGTGAAATCTTTGCGAAATTATTAGCTTCATTCACAGTTGGCTGCGAGTATTTGAAGTATACAAAGTATACACATATGCAGTGGGTTAGTGGTGCTCTTTAGAAAGAAGAAGACAAATAAAGGATTGAGAAAAATTCGCTGTTATATTTTATGAAGTTTGTGACTATTCAGCGGGTAGACTAACAAAAACTGCTTGACTATATGATATATTTGATATATTTTGATATATTGATATATATCTTCGTTTATCGGCTGGTTTGAGATGAAGTTCGGTCCTTAAGTAAACTGTCATAAATGTATA